CCTTCTATAGCTTTAAGTAAACCTTATATTCAAATACAGACCTCAAGGTAGTTTCACCTCAAGCTGATCAAGCGGTATCAGACGGTCGAGCATTTCCTGGGACTGTGTCATTTTAATCAGTCTCCCTGGAAGGGCGAGGTCTGAGACAAAGGTTGGATCCAGCTGCACCTGGGCTCCTCTCTGAGAAGGAGCTTAGAAAGCAAAGGGGTCCAATCTGAATCTCCCTGGGTTGCCCTACTCAGGTCATGACAAGGCAACACCAATCCTCCTCCTGGGCCCTGGCACAGACCAGCCATCAGGCCAGGCGAGAACAGTGACCATCACAGAGCAGCTGCTCCCTTAAAACAAGGTATGAAAGGTGAAGTCCAACACCAATGAAAGCACTAAACTCGAGAGTAGAAGTGTAGGCTGAAATATGGGATTATTTCCCCAAATCAGACCACCAGTTAGGCATGCCAGCGTTGACTCCCCATAGTTTTTAATTCTTCTGGAGCAAGTGATGGAGATGATACAAGATTAAAATAGTAAAGACCAGGAGGAGAATTTGCTATAGACAAGTATCACCTTGTTTTTTCTCATTCCTTGCAAGTTTCTTATTTTTAGGATACCAAATGATAACTTTGCATATACAGTACCTATATTATATTGTAATATCTCTATCAGTGATAATCAAAATAATAATAATAGACTTCTTTAAGACTATCTGACCTTGTTTAATTGAAACAAAGGCTTTGAAAAGCCTTTGATGTGCAACTGGAAGGCCTCAGACTAGTGCTACTTGGGAAAATGGACCTTTTGGAGCAAGTCCAGAGGAGGGCCACGAAGATGACCAGAGGGATGGAGCACCTCTCCTGTGAAGACAGGCTGAGAGAGTTGGGGCTGTTCAGCCTAGAGAAGAGAAGGCTCCAGGGAGACCTTATAGCACCTTCCAGTTCCTGAAGAGGCTACAGGAAAGCGGGGGAGGGACTTTTTACAAGGGAGTATAGTGACAGGATGAGGGGAAATGGCTTTGAACTGGAAGAGGCTAGATTCAGGTTAGACATTAGGAAGAAATTCTTCAAAGTGAGTTTGGTGAGACACTGGAACAGGTTACCCTGGGAAGTTGCAGCTGCCCTTCTCTGGAAGTTTTCAAGGCGAGGTTAGACGGGTCTTTGAGCAACCAGGTCTAGTGGAAGGTGTCCCTGTCCATGCAGGGGTGTGGGAACAGGGGGCTTGGGCAAGGTCCCTTCCAACCCAGACCATGATTCTATGCTTTGCTTATGTTCCAGTATGTGGTGCAGGATGTAGCTATGGTGTGAGGTTAGAAGTATTATTTTTTTTAAGCAACAGACTCAAAAGCTCACATTTGTAACCTGCCCTGTGAAACTGGCTGTTGAGTGCAAACACCTCTGGCACACCTGAGCCCAAGGCAAGCAAAGCTTGCACTTGTCCAGCATTGCTGCAGGGACTTGCACATCTCTAAGACAAATCTCTTTCCACTAGCACACTCTAAGGCAGAGACCCAGCCCCAAAAGCTCTCCCTTTCGTACACTGCTGCCCTGTATGGCAAGCAGAGTGAAAGCACAGACAGGCTGGGGGGGAAAGCTGAAAGCTCCTGCCACTGAGTTTGCTCTGCAAATGAACTAACAGCTGGAGCTGGGCTTATTGGAACTGTGTTTCTAGAAGGAGGTACAATGGGGGTGGGTGGGTAGGGGAATCAGAGCAGAAGTAGCAGTTTGCAAGAGAGAACACGTAATTTTCACAAATTCCAGATGTACATGCATTTGGCTGGGCTCTTGCTCTAGCTGGCATCTTTAAGCAGCACCACGGGTATGGAAAATGCTGGCCCCCTCCCTGTGGTGCGTAACTGAGGCAGCCAAAGGTGGCAGGGGAACTCAAAGAAGAGCAGGAGCTATTGGATCTGAACCCAGAGACGAGGAAGAGGAATCAAACTGCCTATGTAGCAGGGGATAGAAGAGAATGGGGATGATAGGATGTGGTGCTACAAAGAGAATGCCATGTTGTCAGACATGTCAGCAGCCTTCACATTGTTATTTTAGATGAATAAGGCTAACAACTGCCCTGAGCTGTTATTCAGGCTGGAGAAGTGGCTAGTGCTCAGGTGAAGGATGGCTACTTTGCTGCTTTGTACTTCACCAGGTCTGTGCAGCCTAATTTGACATTTTCTAAAGCAACTGCATAAATAGGAGGAGGTTAAATGGCTGAACTACCCCTTAGACCTCTTTTGACATTAGACAACCAATTTTTATGACCCTGCCCATTACAGCTACCTCAAAGGTTGCATCCAGCTGCTCTAAATCACAGCATTGAGCCTGTGATTTACAAAGCCTGGTACAAGGCAAAAAGGAAAGGCAAGGATAATTTCACAGAGCAGCCAAGTGGCTTAATGAGCAAGTTGTTTCACTTGCACTGCTTATCCTTCTGGAACAGCAGAGTCAAGGAAGATCTTGTATCTCCCACACAACTACCTTGAAAGAAGTTGCACAAGCAACATCTACATTGATGCTGCTTCTCAAAACAATGTAATTTCTAACAATAGTTTGTCCCTCAGATTATTTAGCTTTTACCAAAGAATGGGGATATGTGGAATCAAGCTTTGTCAACCTGTTTACATTGCATCACCTAGATTTACTGCCAGTGACTCATTTAGAAAGTATTTATGATAACTCTCTTGTGGAGAGTCAGCCATGATGAATACAGTGCTTCACTTTTAATTGGAGAAAGGGGAATTTGTACATGCATGAGACAAGTAAAATAAGACCAGTTGGAGTAGGCTTGCTGCTGTAATTACTTGGGCTTTCAATGCACTTGTATATTTCATGTGTAACTAGTTTGTAGCATACCCAGACTATATGGCACATTGAATTTCTCAGCATCTTGCTTCTAGAAGTGCAGCACTTTTGTTCCCACAGAAAAGACTTCTGCTCCCTAGATGAGAGTGGGAAGCACCAGCTTGAGAGGCTGCTGCCTAGGGGTACTGATGGGGCCAACAGGACCTGGAACACAGATCAAACTAGTGCAAAACCCACTTCTGGCCTCAGCTACAGAATAAGATACATACTAGTAGCAGCAAAGGGTCATTCTGGCCAACATAAACCTTAGCATAAGTTGTCTTTTTGCTTCTAAGTTCTTGCTTTTCTTCTTGTTCAGTCTAAACCATGTGTGGTTTTGCCAGTCTCTTGCTGTTTGTGCCAAGGGCTTTTCAGGACAACACAGCCAGCCCCTCCTGCCCCTTGGGGTTGAATTAATTAAGCCTCAGGGGGAAAAGGCAGGCACTTTGCTCCTAGACAGAAAATAGCTTAAAAGTTTTAGCTGCCCACATGCAACCCTTTCTACTACCCTTTCTACAACCAAAATGATTATGCTGCTGAAGCTGGGCTCTTCTAATACTGACAGATGGCCTCAACCAGAGAGCTAGTGAGTTTTCATGCAGAGCCTTTGGCCTGAGTGATCTGGCTGGCAAATCCACAGCATTAGCCTGGTACTGAGTTTTTAAAAATGTGAGGGAAGATGACAAGCTTATCTTAACTGAATAGTCATACACAGCAATGCCAAGGTTTCCAAATTAATAAAAAGTCAACAGCGTTACAGATAAATGTATTTTAATTAGGATTAAATACTATCTCAAAGTATCTTGAAATTGCACTTATACTGTACTAATCAACAGCCAGAGGCAATAAAAAAAGTCTGAAAACGTAAGTTCTAACATCCAACACATGACAGTAAGTGCTGCCAATTAAAGCAACAAACACCGCTCCCAATAATAGATACTCTTAGAGGAAAAAGTTGTAACATTTTTTGTATGGACAAAAAAATTTAAATTGAAGACCAGAAGGAATATATTAGTGCCTGCCTCTTTAAAAGTGGTGGGTTTTTTTAGGTTTTTGTGGGGTTTTTGTTTGATTATTATTTTTTTTTACATTAAATACAGTTTTCTTTAAAAGCAAGGTACTTCCTAAAGTCATGGTGTATATACTGTATGTACACAAGAGCAGAACATTGTACAGTACTTTTGATAAAGCAGCACTAACTAGCTATAAGCTGGTATGGTGTTGCTGAACCAAACGCAAGATGACAAGTTTAATACTCTAGAAGTTATCTCCATGGTTAGTATGAGAAAAGTAAAATATAATGTATGTACAGATTATTTCAAACAAATCCCCCCAACTCAACATCACTTGTCATGGAACTGTACACACTGCAGCTAATCAATTGAAGTCCTACTGCAAGAACTGGTCTGACAGAGCCGAAGTAACTGTTCTCTTTCAGTTAACAAAGTGCATTACCCATGCAGAGAGCACTTACACAAGTCACCATTGCAACACATCACCCCGAGGGTGCAGGGCTCCAAGGAGAGCAGATTCTTACTGCAGCCTCAAGTCAAGTAGCCTGCATTTTTCCACTATGCAAAATATGAAGTGCTCCAACTAAACCATATGCAATTAACATTAAATCTACATTATTAATATCTGTATGTCCACTCTGGCTTTCTGTGGACTGTTACAGATCAAAGCAGTTTGCACCCATGTAACACCAGTTCAGACTAATATGGACTGGCAGTGATTTCCATCATTAGTGCAACATTAACTCCTTTACTTCAAAGTGACTTAATGTTCTTCAGATGCACAACGTGCTTATTCAGGTTTTACAAACACAAACCAAAACGTTGCACAAAAAAACTGTTTCCAGGTTTGTATATTTTTTCTTAAACTCTACCCCATTAAAAACCCTTCAAATGTAACAACAGCTAGTGCCCTGGTTCAAAGTAAATTGTCTCAAAAAATGACCTTTATTCTAGGGTTAGCAGTGGGGCAGAGATTAAGGTTATTCTTTTTACGTATACTTTTAATCATAATTCAATTTAGATCTTCAGAAGAGGTTATTTGCTGTACTTTCAGAATGCTGTTTGTCCTTGTCTTAGCTACTATGCTGGTTTAATGAACTGAATGTTTCTTCCTTGATGAGGACAGAGGCGAGACAACTTGTTTCTAAACTGCATCAACTTAAAGTTTCAAGTTTTAATGGCGTAAAAATCTGACATTCAATTACAGTTGAGAGAAACTTGCTACACAGCAAACTGCATCCAAATTTACCAGTTAATGATGTGATCTTTAAATTAACTGTTAACAAGTTATTCGAAGCATCCAGACCTGGAAACATCAGATCACCCAGTCAGTGAGCCAGCAACTCCCTCCCCCTTTTTCATGAAGCTTTAACAAATGCAACTGATGTGACCTTAGTACTGGAGCTGGTTAACTTCCACTGGTTAACTCCAATACCAAAAAGAGCTAGGGAGATCCTGTGTTAAGCCCAATGCAATATGCATTAGTGTCATGGAGCAGGAAGATCCCAGTGTCTACTTGTTAAAATTCACACGAACCATACAGATACAGAGAGGATAAAACATAGACTCAAAAGGATCCATTATGCTTGAAGAAAATTCCAAATAAAATGACATCTTCTGCACAGCCCAGCCTCAGACACACCTTTATCTAGTGTAATAAACTCTGTAGTAAACTGTTTTTGACCTCCATAGGGAGTAGGAGTTGTCAAATTTAAGAAGATAAACTCCTCTCCCTGGGTACTGGTGGCTGCCAGCATACACTTCTTCATGACAGTCTCGTCTGTACACAGGCACTATTTCATCTAGCTGAGGCTTGTTGGCATTCTTTTTGGCTTTTTCTTCACTGCTAGTATTTTCTGCAAGGTAAAAAAAAAAAAAAAAAAAAAAAAGTCAGCTAACGTGGGTGAATACTTCACAAGATAAGGTCAGACTGATCTGAAGCGGACAAGGCACTCCTTGTTAGTTTAGAAAAGCCAAGCTCTAATTTTCATTAGGACACTACCTCACATTGAGTGCTACTCATCTAACACACTTAATACACTGAGTACTTAGTATCAGTTTCTATGGCAGAACATTTCCTTCTAAGTAAATCATGTGCTCATTTTCAAACCCTTTTTTTCTGATGGCATGCTATACTTTGCCATAGGTAAGTGACCTATGTCCTGGTCACTATCAGAAACTGCTCTTTCAAGCAGTTTTGCTGAAGTCAAGGAAATTTCCTCCCTAGAAAGATTTCATGAACAACAGGGCAGGATTTTAAGCTTTTCAGTGTGCAGATCCCCTATGCTTCCATTCTGACACGAGTTTCATCTACCTTACTGAATAGCTGAATAACGTGGGTGAATACTTCACAAGATAAGGTCAGACTGATCTGAAGCGGACAAGGCACTCCTTGTTAGTTTAGAAAAGCCAAGCTCTAATTTTCATTAGGACACTACCTCACATTGAGTGCTACTCATCTAACACACTTAATACACTGAGTACTTAGTATCAGTTTCTATGGCAGAACATTTCCTTCTAAGTAAATCATGTGCTCATTTTCAAACCCTTTTTTTCTGATGGCATGCTATACTTTGCCATAGGTAAGTGACCTATGTCCTGGTCACTATCAGAAACTGCTCTTTCAAGCAGTTTTGCTGAAGTCAAGGAAATTTCCTCCCTAGAAAGATTTCATGAACAACAGGGCAGGATTTTAAGCTTTTCAGTGTGCAGATCCCCTATGCTTCCATTCTGACACGAGTTTCATCTACCTTACTGAATAGCTGAACTGGGTAAGAGGGCACACTGAGGAGTAAGTAACACTTATTAAAAGGATTTCCTCACCCTCAACTGCTTTAACCTGTCTGAATAAACAAGGTGACTGAAGTTACTTTCAGAATTGTACTTCCTATTGAAAATTGAAGCCAAGATTCCACCTACTGGGAATGTGGGGGAACTAGGAGATGACACAAAACAATCACTTGAGTTTTACCCCAGGGCAAGCTCTGCAGGACTGACAGTTTATACAAATAAGCATCCTTACCTTCTTCTTCATCCTCATCATCACTGGATTCACTGACATGCACACTGACTGCAGTATTAGGGGAATCTGTCCATTCAAAATACACCCCAAAACCAATGTCATAATTGTCTGTCGCAAACTCCCAAAAGAGGTAAGACCCCTCTTCGTGAGTTGGTACTCTAACTGTAACCACTTCTCCTCGGCCCACTGTGATCACAGAGTCTGCATCCTGCCGGATTTTCTCCTTGAAGTCTTTTATCTGAGGTCGAGTCCACATCGATGGGGCAGCTATCAATGGAACAGAATCTGGAGAGGGGGGGAGGAAACACTCCAGTTAAGCTCTGTTTCAGTTATTTATGCTACACAATTAAGTGTGCCCTAGGAGTACCTGAGGACCATAAACACCGGAGTTGCTTCCAGGTAATTTTTTTTAACTGAAGAAATGTATTTTCACAGGTGAAACTTGCATGAAATGTAGCGCACACTTATATCCTCTCAGTTCACTCATCTGCCACATTTAAGATAGACACAAATACACATGCACTGCTACAGGAAATGGGGTTACATTGCACAGAACCCTTCACTGAAAGGATATTTTAATGTGACAGAAACAGAGGTTGTGGATTGTCAAGTATTTACTAAAATATAACTCAACGCCTCATTATGCAGACATCGATTGTGTTAGTGTTGGCTCCATTCTGGTATCCAAGCAAGTCTTTTGAGGACTACTGGTTGTGGATTAAAGAGGTAACACCCAGGAATACCAGCGAGGAGAGAGCTGCCTAGGAGGCTAATTTTTGTGCTCCTAGAAGCTGTCTGAGGACAGTGCAAAACTGTGTTCCAGACTGCACATAGGACAGGACTAGGCCACAGGTAGAGCAGCAGAGAGAGCAAGAAGGATTTGGCTTTATGGTAAGCTGCAAGGCTAAAGCACTCAGTTTTAACCCGAGTTCAAATAAGATTGAACATACTTCTGCACAGAACAGCTTTCTGCTAGAACTTTTATGCTCCTTTCCTTCAAGTCAAAAGTGAAAGGAAGTTCTGGATCCCACCCACTATGCCTGAAATGCTTTTGCTGCCTCCTCTTTCACTTCTCCTAAAGCTGAGTTCTACTTGTGCAGTATTGTTCTCCCTTGTGAGAAACTGGACCCAGGTATCAAACCTGGCTCTTTCATAGCCCATTGAAGGCAAGCAACAAGCCACAGTAACAATACTTAAGATAGCTAAATCCTAAGAAAGGCATTCATTATTTATTTTTAATTAAGGAATCTAGTTAGTCCTACCTTTTGGTCCATTCTCCAGTGCTTCTTCCAAAGCCTCTGTATCCAGCTCTTTTTCAGGGCTGTCTGCATGTGTACTGGCCTGCCCATTAATAGATAGGGTGTCCCCTGGGGCAGATGCATTCACCTTTGATGCAGTAGTTAGAGGTGTCCCTGTTGCTGCCACAACTGCCTCCTGCTGTTTTTGTAAGGCTGCCTAAAATGACAGAAATCAAGTCAAGTAAAACTCAAACTTCTCAAGGTATCTCCCTCTTCCGGCAGAAGGTATAGAGATACTTCAAATAAAAAATATCTCCCTCTGCACTCCACAAGGAGGCTTTACATGAAAGACCAGAAGCAGTACAGTGAGAATTACATGTATTTAGTATCAGCAGAAGTGAAGTCACTTTATTCTAGGCTGGTGGATACAACCTGGACAAAAAGATCAAGCTTACAAGTTAATTAGAGCACACACAATAAACTCTTGTTCTTAACTACAGAAGTTCTGCGTTTCAGTAATTCCTGTAACATTTCTCTCAAAATTGGAAGTGATTACTTGTTTCTTGGTTTTTACCAGTGGGCTGAAAGGGTTCTTGCTTGAGCTAATTCAGGTCTAAAAAAGAGGTGGAAGTATCTAAGGTCTATCAAGTACTTGTCAGTTTGTGAGCTAACTTGTTCAATAGTATTTTTTATTAAATCCACAAAATTTATAATTTTCTGAGCAAAGAATTAAATACACCTAAAATGAGATTATACGAGGTAACAACCATCCTTTTGGATTTAAGCAGGATGCGTTACCCCTTTACCTTCAAGGCACATTTCCCTGCCCTAGTTATTAGTACTGGGGGACTACACAAGCTTTTCTGTTGGGACAGGGAAAAGTTATTATTGACAGTACAATTTTAAAAGAATAACCTAATGAACAAATTATTTTGAAAAATCAATGGAAGATGGGTATTCTGAAGATGTATGAATACATTATAGTCAAACATCAGTTAGATTTCAGACTTGGAAAACTGTAAAAATGCTGCTCTTTTTACTAGAGCAGTTCTATGCACTGAAACAATCAATGTAAAGTAGTGAGGGCTTTTCTAGAAAACTATTACGTACAGCCTTTCTAAAATTGATTGTATCACAAGCTAATCTGTAAGCAACGGTGACAGAACAGCACTTTTGAACTGCTCCAATAGATCCCAAGTTGGCTGAGTTACAGGCATTTGAAAGAAAAGTATACCTCAGAAGTGTTATCTGAGTCTTCAGGAAAGTTTGAACTAGACTTATATCATTTTAGCTTTGCTGCACACTTGTTTTTCATCCTTTCCTCTACAAGAGTTGTCCAAGTAGAGATTTGAAAGATAACCTTCATAGTCTGGCAGACTTATTATTTTGTAAGCCACTATAAAGGAAATTATATTTTCCCCAGAGGACATTACTCTTCTGTACATAGAAAGCAGACAGCCATGATTGAAAGGAGCAGTGCTGACAGCACTGAAGAAAATTGGTCACATCTCTGACACCTCAGTCTCAAGTGAGTAGTACCAACTACAGAAGACATCAAGGACAAGACTGAAAAGGCTATAGCTTTTGCTTACCACTACAACACCAAAGCATTGGTACCAAGGGGTCACTAAGCTTCAAGAGTAACAATAAGAGGACAGGAAGCTTCTGACTCTCCTGTACTACTTCAGCTTCACAGAATCATGGTTAGGCTTGGAAGGGACCTTTAAAGATCACCTAGTCCAACCTGCCTGCTGTGGGCAGGGACATCTTTCACTAGATCAGGCTGCTCAAAGCCCCATCCAACCTCGCCTTGAACACTTACAGGGAGGGGACACCCACAACTTCCCTGGGCAACTTGATTCTGTGTCTGACGACCCTCATTGTACAACAATTTATCCCTTTTGTCCAATCTAAACCTACACTGTCTCAGATTAAAACCAGTGTCCCTTCTTCTATTGCTACAGGCCCTGCTAAAAAGCTTGTCCCCATCTTTCTTAAAAGCACTCTTTAAGTATTGAAAGGCTGCAATAAGGACTCCCTGGAGCCTTCTGCGGGCTGAACAACACAACCTCAACTCTCTTAGCCCTCCTCTGGACCTGATCTAACAGACTATCTTGGTTTGGGCCTGAAACGACAACAAAGAAGCAGCCCTGTGGCCACTCACTCAGCTGCCCCCACACACACACACTCTGGGATGGGGAGGACAAAGGCCAAAGAGAAGCTCATGGGTCGAGACAAAGGACAAGGAGGGCTCTTCATCAATTCAGGTCCTGGGCAAAGGACAGGGGATGGGGTTTAGAGTCAGTTCACAGGCTGGTGGTTCCTGCTGCTCCTTCCTCCTCAGGAAGAAGGATTCCTTACAGTCCTTCCCTGCTTTCCCAGGTCCCTTCTTCCCATGGGAGAGTCCTCCACGAACCTCTCCTTCATGAGTCCTTCCCACGAGGTCCGGAGCTCCTCCAGCCTGGGCTTCCCAAAGAGTCACGGGCTGCTTTGGGAACAGTCACCTCCCCTGGTGCCAGAATCTTCCAAAGCTGCATAATCCGAGTTCAGTGGCCGCAAAATCCAAGTCCACTGGCCAAGTTCACCCCTCCTGGCACCTTAGGGAATGTTCCACCATGTTCCTCCATGAGTGCAGGGGGACAGCTGCCATCTCACCATGGGTTGCAGGGAAACTTCTACTTGGGCACCTTCTTCCCCTTCCTCACTAACCATAAGGATGCACTGCCTGTTAACATAAGGATGTTCACTTCAGCACTGCCTGTCATCTCTCCAGCACAGCTCTTCTTCCTTGAACTGCTCGATCTGCTCAGGTGTTATCTCAGTTTCTTCGTATGTTAATCATAGAGGTGCATCTATTGTCCCTCTAATGGCTCCTTGACTGGTTTTGTACCAGGGGTAGCTTCTCAGCTTCTTACTGGAGCCACCCCTGGGGCCCTTCCCCCACTACCAAAAATATCAAGAAACCAGCACACAGGTCCCATGTCTTTCTTGTACTGGGGATCCCAGAGCTGCATATAGTACTCCAGGTGGGGTCTCACGAGACCAGAATAGAGAGGGACAATCAACTCCCTTCCTCAACCTGTGGACCACACTTCTTTTTAAGGAGCCCAGGACTCCCTTGGCAGCTCATAGCCAGATTTTCACCCATCAGTATCCCCACGTCCATCTCTGCAGGGCTGTCCTCAATCCATTCATCACCCAGTTTGTACTGATATTGGGGACTGTCCTGATCTAGGTGCAGGACTTTGCACTTGGCCTTGTTGAACTTAATGAGTTTCACATGGCTCCCTTCCTTGGAAGAAAAGATCCCCTCTTTGCTTAGTGGATCAGCCTCATCTTAATACAAATGACTTAACAGGAAATCAGTTACTGAATTTTAAGTCTTTAGCTCAAGAACAATGGACCTCAGGCTGGCAGCTATATGCCATAAGACTAAGGTCCTGCCCAGAGAGGTCACACAGGCCTAGAGCCTGAAGTCTGACTTACATCTGTTTATGACAGTTACAGATGGCCATCCCTGGACTTTAAAATAGCTTGAGATGTGAATACAGCACATTTGCCAGAGATGCAAGATTCCCCTAAACAGCAAAGTAGCCTTTCAAGCCCAGGCACAAAACATTTGCAACGTAGCAATATACTACTGCCACCAACTGCTGCCATAAATATGAAAGTCTGTCCTGCCTCCCAGATCACAAGCAGTCTATTGCAGGCAAGCAATTTAATTAGATTCTGATGTCAGACAACAGGTGCAAAAGGAGACAGAAGTCAGAGGTGCTCAAGTTGGCAGGGAGGAGCAATCTCAGAACCAGTAGTGATGTGACAGGGCTGCATGCACGTTCCAACTGGAAACACAAAGCTAACCAAAGCCTGCTGCTATGCAAAGACCCTCTGGTGAGATACCTACATGGAAAGTCAACTTGAATAAGATTTGTTCATGCTCAGATGCACTAGTGTACATTCTCATTAAATTGCACCCACAACAGATGCTGCAGCACAGTGCTTCACATTTGGTTTCCAAGAACAATATTGAACCAAGTAATTAGTGAAGGCTGCTTAGAATTTTCTTAACTAACAGCTGCTTCAGAACACCTCTCAAAAAGATTAAATAAAATGGCTTTGTTGTTTGAATCTGAAACAGTGTTAGTCACTAGGAGACTATCTCTCCTTGTAGCAATAACTATTTCAAGGAGATGCCAGCAGATAAGTTAACATCTCCTAGAGACAGTCTGGGACACAAAATCTAAGTTTCTCAGCTGGTTGGACATACCTGTTGCTGTGCAAGCTGGACTTGATACAACTGCTGCATGTACTGTTGATAATGCTGCTCTTGAAGCTGTCGAATTAGGATCTGCTGCTGCTCATAGTTGCCTGGATACTGCTGGGCTGCATACTGCTGGAACTGAATGGCAGTTTGGGAGTTCAGTGCTGCCATTATCTGTTGCCTAGATTGGTGGGAGGAGAGTATGAAGATTACAAGCAACTGAGGGTATTGGGGAAAGCCTTGTACTTCAGTGATTAAAGTGGCCTTGAAGAGAGTTAATTAAATTCATGTGAAAATCAATTAAAACAAATCTGCATAATAGAGTAGAGCCCAGAGGTAATGTAAATGTGAATTTTGCCTAAAAATATGCTGTGAATATAAAGAAGGGAACAGCAATTTCTACCCAATGATTGAAAACACAAAGTGCTAAAAAAGCCAAGAGCTCTAACATAGTTCTCAATCTGTAGTCTGATAAGGAGGTAGTGCTAGAAAAATACGACCGAGCAAGCAAGGGGGGAAAAAAAAACCACATTTGGTTCCTCCATAAAACATGCAGAAACCATCTTTCTAGCAGCCCTTCTACAAATATTGTTAAGAAAAGATCTGCTGTGGTGCAGCTCAGCAACGCTTTCTGATAAATCTAAGAACACACCACATCACTATCTCAATTTCCCAGGACAGTACACAAACATGAAAAGCATGACTGACTGCAGCCTAACACTTCCTGGTAGACACTTAACTCTGCTCAGCTGAGTGCAGCATTCATCATTTAAGAAGCAGAGCCACAGGTTTTCAAGAAGTTAAGCCTTCTCTTTAAACAAAGCTTCTCTGGCACTTTCATCTGTGAAGGCTGCATACAGTAGTAACATGTTAGGATAATTATTCCCTGCAAACTGTGTCCCTTTTAACTAAAGATGCAAATGTCACTGCTAGACTTGAGTACGCTGAACTTCAGGTATTAAATTCTAGCACAATTATTTAAAAAGTTAGATAGAATTGTCCCAAGTGCAAGGCAGTTATTTCCTTTGAAGTGTTACTTGTGTCAGGTACTCACTTCTGTTGTTCCATTCGAAGTCGTTCCTCCTCTATTCTCCTTCTCTCTTCTTCTTCTCTTCTTAGTCTTTCCTCTTCTTCTCGCCTACGTTTTTCTTCTTCTTTTTGTAAACGCTCACGCTCCTCCTCTTCACGCCGCCTTCGTTCTTCCTCTTCTCTTCTGCAACATCCACTCAATAAGCTATTTCAGCATTCCTACAATCCTAGGGCGAGTAATTTTCCACATGCAATAACCTGCCTTTTGCCTGCCCAATAAGGCTTTTTGTTTGGTATCAACTCCTCCCATTTCAATTTGACTGGAGAAGTGTTTTATTGGACAGAAGAAGAAAACATACGACTGTTTAGTTTACCAGCACTGTGCAGTATGATATGCTTAAATTCTGTATTATCATTTTATATTAATTCTAACCTATTTCTAGACTATTCTTAGTAGACAGCAGTAGCATAAGGAAACCTTAAAAACATCTTCCAAGTTTTTACATATGTTTAATAATTACATTGATAATATAGTTTAACAGTAACATGATACATAAATAACAGTAGAAGATAGCCTTTGTCAAGTTGCTAACCCATACCAATTTAAAGCATACAAGTTTAAAGCACCTGACAATTTCCTGTTATGTACACATTTAGTCCACAGACCTATTGGGGCAGATATGTATTTCTTAAACAGATGACAGCATCAGCAAAATTTTAAAAACTCCTTATATTCTAAGTGTCCACAATGGAAACAACCACTCTTTATTGGCAAAGTAAAAAGGCTTAAGATGATAAAATGATAGAACAGACACCTAAACTTGAAGCATTTCTCTTCTCAAGATGACTTCAATCTAAGCTAGCTATGACACTGTCCACAGGTCAAGAGTTATACACTCAATATATTCCAACACCAAAGAACTCAAACATTACCTTTTCTTTTCTTGTTCTTCTTTCTCTATCTTGTGGGAAGTCACATATGTTGAAAATAAGTGGCAGCACCTATTCAGGAGCTTAACAAATTCTGTCATTGCTTTTTGCTTTGACATGTTTCCAAGGGCAGCCCATTCCTTCCTGAGAGAGAAAAATCAGCTGAAATAAAAGACAACTCAACTCTTTTCAAGTCTGTAGTGAAGTCTGATAACACCGAGAAGAAAAAAAAAAAAAGTTGGGAGACCAGGGACTAACCTATCATATGGAGTTTCAGAGAACCAACTTTTTCTCAAAGACAGACCTTAAACCTGTAGGTTTCTGTGCTCTTCTGCCTGCACCATTTGGGCAAAAAGCAGTGCACTGGCTCCAGCTCTGAGAAGCCTGAGCTTCTTTGCACACTGCCTTCACAACTACAAATAACAAACGAGAACTGCCACCTGAACTGCAAGAATGCAAAAGCAGACACCAGGAAAAGGAAGATCTGCCTACTGTAGGAAAAGAGCAGATTTGAGACCACCTGAAAAACCCAGAAGTGCAGAAGCCCATGGGACCTTACAAAATCCACCTGTGGTTCCTAAGGGAGTTGGTAGATGAAGTAGCAACACCACTTTCCATCCTATTTGAAAAGTCATGCCAGTTTCCACTGACTGGAAAAAGGGAAAGAAGACCCAGAACTGTAGGTCAGTCAGTCTCACCTCTATGCTCTGCAAGAGCATGCAGCAGATCCTCCTGAAGGCTCTGCTCAGGTGCATGAAAAATGCAAAAGTGGTTGGTGGCAATCAACATGGCTTTACCAAGGGTAAATCATGCCTGACAAATTTGGTGGCCTTTTATGATGGGAGTCACAGCATCAGTGGACAAAGGAAGAGTAACTGATGCCATCTACCTGGACTTGTGCAAAGCCTTCAACACTGTCCTGCATGACATTCTGGTCTCAAAATTAAAAGAATATGGATTTGGTGGATGGACCACTCAGTGGATAAGGAATCGGCTGAATGGTTGCACTCAGAGAGTGGTGACCAGCAGCTCAATGTGCAGATGGGGAACAGTGACACGTGTCATTCCTCAGGGGTCAGTACTGGGACGTTTAACATCTTCATCAGCAACATGGAGAGTGGGACTGAGTGCACCCTCAGCAAGTTTGCTGATGACACCAATCTGTGTGGTGTGGTTGACATGCTGGAGGGGAGTCCATCCAGAGGGACCTTGACAGGCTGGAGAGGTGGGCCAGTGCCAACCTCATGAAGTTTAACCAGGTCCTGCACCTGGATTGGTGCAACTCCAGGCATAAATACAGGCTAGGGGGAGAATGGATTGAGAACAGCTTTGAAGAGAAGGATCTGGGGGTGCTGGCTGATGAGAAGCTCAACATGAGCCAGCAATGGGCACTTGCAGCCTAGAAAGCCAAATAGATCTTGGGCTGCATCAAAAGAAGTGTGGCCAGGAGGGCGAGGGAGATTCTGCCCTTCTTCGCACTCATGAGACCCCACACGGAGTATTGTGTCCAATTCTGGAGCCCACAACACAGAAAGGATATAGAGCTCTTGAAGAAAGTAGAGAGGAGGGCCATAAAGATGATAAGGCTGGAGCACCTCTCCTATGGAGACAGGCTGAGAAAGTTGAGGCTGTTCAGCCTGGAGAAGACTCCAAGGAGACTTTATAGTAGCCTTCCAGTGCCAGAAAGGGCTGTAGAAAAACTGGGAACAGACTTTTCACAAGGAACAAGGGGTAATGGTTTTAAACTGAAAGAGGGTAGATTTAGTTTAGACATTGGGAGGAAATTTTTTACTGTGAGGGTGGTGAGACACTGAAACAGGTTGCCAAGGGAAGCTGTGGATGCCCTCTCCTTGGAAGCGTTCAAGGCCAGGCTGGATGGGTCTTTGAGCAACCTGGTCTAGTGGGAGGTGTCCTAGCCCGTGCAGGGGGGTTGGAACTAGATGATCTTTAAGGTCCCTTCCAACTCTAGCCATTCTATGAAGCAATAAAAGAGACATGCCTGAGACTGTCAGATCTCATTAAAATTTACTCATTTTGAAAGCATCAGGTATCTGATTTCAGAAGTATACTTGGTATTAACAAAAGCTATGGTGAATGCTGTTAAAACTAGCAATAAGCTTGGCCTATTTTAAATCTAGTGTAGAGTTAGGATGAAACACAAACGTGCACACTAATGCAGAACTAACTAAGTCTTATACTGCTAGGAGGAATTGGGCACTAGGCACAGCAGCTTTTCCTAATGTTACTTAAAAACCCAAATAATCTTCTCATAGCTCATTTACTCTCAATTTCTAAAATGTATTTGAAGAGGCCACTCACTTTCCACTACCATAAACACACACTGACACAACCCACATACTTTTATTCTTATTACAGAAATTGGATGATGCTTTCTTCAGACAGAAAAAAAGCAGAGTTAAGACCAACAAGAACACCAGCCTTTTTACCTCCTATCATTCCCCAGCACATCAAAGAATCCAACTTCAGGGCAAGTGTCAGGGTTGTAAGGTCCCAGCAGAACCTGCTTGTGCAGTGCCACAAGTTTGAGTTTTTCTTCGTATGTTGGATGAAAGGCTTTGCCATCTTTTTCTGCAGAAGAAAATAAAATTTCACTGTTGTCATTATGCACACAGCAAAGAGTATTGTATATAACCACTATGATGAGTTTTCCATAAAAAAAAAGAACTAAGAAAGTCAGATCAGGTTAGACATATTAATTCAGTTCTATTCAAATAAAATAAAGGTTTGTTCAGAAGAAACACATTCAACTTCAGATGCTGAAACTTAATTATGAATTATGAAGTGTTTTTCCTCATACCACCTAGAGTGAATCTTAGGTAGTAAGTTATCATATAAACATTTACATTAATTAGTTGAAAGTCATTCTGTATGGATCTACCACAGAATCACAGAATCCTAGGGGTTGGAATGGACCTTGAAAGATCACTTAGAGCACATCACACAGGAACACATCCAGGTGGGTTTTGAATGTCTCCAGTAAAGGAGACTCCACAACCCCTCTGGGCAGCCTGTTCCAGTGCTCTGTCACTCTCACAGTAAATAAGTTTTTTCTATATCTCTGAAATATTTAAAATCCTTAACTTGACTTCAAACATGTTTGCAAAGTCTACTATAGTGTGGACAGGAAGGATTTTCCACAAAGGTGTGACATTAACTTTATAGATTACTCTCCTTTCATGCTCTTCACATTGATGAAAGCACAATAAACCAGGTTTAAGGCAAGGAAAACCACACAGCAAAAAACAGAATGAAGGGAAATTTCTCCTTGAGACAACTTGATGGCTGCACTTTTCCAAGGCAGCCAGAATAACTCCTCATAGAGAAGTTTTAGAGGTGACTCTGTTGCACCAACACTCTGGCCCCAAGATTCAGGAAACATAAGCCTGAACATAATCAGAATCTACCAACACCTTCTGAAACAGTCCCACTTAGATCCTGCCAAGCATTTTCTGGTAAGAAGATACTTATATTGATTTGAAAGTATATATAAAATTAGTCAGCTAGGACTCCGCACACAAACTGTCATAGCAAATCAAAGAAACAGGTATTGCTATATGTAATTACACTGCCATTAAGAAGGGATCTTTTTCTTAAGCAGGAAAACAAATAAATAGGCATCATCTCCTTATGGAAGGGCTGAAATGAGGAAGCAATTATCAGATGTAAGCATCAGACATTGCACATGACTGTATTGCTAATGACTCTCCACATAGTCAGGAATCACAGGCAGAGCCACCACTAGTTTCCAGGTCTCTTTACAGTAAAGGTCACTTTGGAGCAGGTTGCTTACAGTCCCAAACTGAACAAGTTGAATCCACACCCCAATTTTAGGACTGATATTTGCATATTGCAAAGTTGCTCATCTGATGCTTGTGAACAGTTATTAACAGGAAAAGAAACAAATCTAAGAACAGAAGAGGGGGAAAAAATATACCTTTACTATGGCCTATTGAGAAATACAGAGCAAATACTTCTGAAAATTAGAGACAACTCCAGAGGACAAGTGTTTGCAGGTCACAGCAAGAAGCTGTATTTTTTTATAGACTATGTTCAAACATGCTACTGGACTTACTCAGTTAAGACATCACAAGGAACCATTACACACATGTAATTAATTTTTAAGCCAGAATGAAAAAAATAGTAAGGTAAATATTTAATCACTTTTATCCATTTCTACAGGCCCTCTCTACTCTCCCAGAATCTCACATACTTGCTCTTTTGGTAGTGTCACACAACTTTACAGCAAATTATCTTTTCCACCTTCAAAAAACAAAAGCCTTTGACCATAAAAATACCTACTTACAAATATGATAGGCTGGAGAAGAGGGGGATGTAAGGACTGAAACAGTCCCTGCTCAGTGATACCCAGTGAAAGGACAAGAGCTAGCAGACAAACTGAAATACAGGAAATTCCACTTTTTTTTTCTGTACTGCAGCAGGTTAGCCAGAGAGGTTTTGAAGTATCCATTCTTAGAAGATACTCAAAACGGGATCTAAATAGAGAGGGCTGAACTTGACAACCCCTAGAGGTCCCTTCTCACCCCAATAAGTCCATGATCCTTAAGAGATGCAAATCAGCATGTCCTGGTAAGCTCTCTCCTTGAATCTCAGGCCTCCTGCTCCAAAGCCATCCAAGGAGCCCTTTAGCTTTTCCTCAATATTTCACATTTATCTCAGAATTCACTTACTGGAGAGCAAGCACTTCCATTAGATTCACTAATCAGCACACACTCAATACTCAATATCTTGGGGCAGCATTGCTTAAAAGCAAGTCAATTGCCAAGAGTACTACACTGAAATTTTGCCAGACTTCTGAGCACAGTATGCTTTTCAAAGGGGTCCCTATGGCACAGCCTACCTTGCACACCCTGTACACCTACAGTTGTCTGCCAAAAACCACAGCTCTGTGCTGTACTAGACTGCTACCCAAGCCAGCTATCATCAGTATCTGAACTCACTCCTGAGGGAGTAAAGGGAAACAAAGCATTCCTTCCCATGCTATACACAGTACACCTGCATTTTCACAGAACCTAAGTCAGACCTCAACCCCTAACTATTGAGAGAAGCAAAAATCTGCATTTATGAAGAATGGTGACCCAAGGGAAGAACAAACAAGCTAAATAAAAAGAGGAAAACAGATAGATGAGAAACAGATGGGACAAGCATTCAATGACTTATATATAATGCAGATTGATTATGAGCAAACTCTCAGCAAAGTATTTGGAGCTAGTCAAGAGGGTGAGGCTATAAAATAGCCATTTTTCAGATTAATTCTTCAGCATGAACCACACTGTATAATTAACCCAAGGATTCAGAATGGTTGCTGTTGAACTGAATCAAAGTACAGGAAGCCATCTACAGAGTCAAATATGCCAAAAAAAGAGCATTAGCAAGTCCAGGCAAGTAGAAATGCCATATTTATTCAAGCATCTGTGAACATACTGTTTAAGTAGGTACTACCCAGACATGTAACACAGCTGTCAGGAAGCTGAAGAACATCAAAGAGCTCTAGGAAACACACTGAGAAATCCAAAGGATGTGCACAGCAGTAGTACAGAAACTCTACAACCCTTCCCATGCCACTGGTATGCATAACCCAGCAGGGCCAGATAAAGGCTCAGCTGTCTTACAAAAGATTAGACTTCTTTCCTGACCATACTTAAAACCATCAGTCACCTGAAGTGGCAATTTCTCAAGTCAACTAAATGTTACACATAAGCAGTGGCCACTAACAGATCAAACTCAAGTAGTGCTTAAGGGGATGGTTACATGAGCAAGGTAGGCTATGGAACTATGATGCTTTGGACATACTGCTGTAAGGGCCCATATATATGTACACACACACACATATTATTTATCACTGATACCGTGAAGTAGTTCCCCCAGAAAATAGAAAGACTGGCTCCCACTTACTGCAAGCTCAGGCCTCACTGATGCCATGAAACCACAACACCCCATTACTGTGCTGTCACCCTGGAAGGGAAATTCCTGCACACTAAAACATAGGCTCTCTTACTACCCCTCTCCCTGACAGTGTCTTGCTTTGCTTAGATGCCTTCAAGGGGTCTCAGTTTTGCAGGCAAGTCAAATACTCCAGAAAACCAATACTTTGAACACCCATGACCCTCCTTTGCACTACAGGTAATTAACCACTTGGTTGAAGACCACTGTTTGAGTTGGTATGCAAACACAACAGAAAGACAAAGCTGTAACTAGTAATGAAAAGCTGATAATGGAGGCTTCTGTCACTAGGTAGCACTGTACCATTAACACTAATAGAACAGCAAATTCAGACTGAAGGGAGTTTAAGAAACATACTAAAGAGACTACATGCATTTTTTTCATGTTAAGAAATATGGCACAACATGCTGCAGTTTCCACTCCAACACCTACTACACTTGCTCTAAATGCTCAACTGCCACAGGATAGTATCCAGTTGAGTCACCTAGAAGAAGCTAGACAAGAATTTGTGAAGAGCAATTTTTCACCTCACAGCTTAAAAGCGGAAGTCATGTATGTTAATGCTATTCATTTGCAAAGTTTTAATGAGCAAGCCCAAAGCCAAGAAGCACAAGAATTGAACTGCTGCCTGCAGATCCCAGTACACACTCTTACACTCATAGTTCTTCCCCCCTAAAGATGTTCTGCATCAACAGAAGAGCTGCCAACTGGTCCTTCCAAATAAGCATGATCAAAGCTCAACTTCACATAAAACGCAGTTATAAGTGTTTTCATACTCTTGAAACAAAAGCCTACTTAACTTATACATCACAATCAGGCCATCAAATAAGCCCTCAAAAAAAAAAAGTCAAACAATTAATATGGATTGATATATTACTGAGGTTGAAAATGCATTCTTGTTAGGGTAAGAGGAAATAACTCGAAGAAGTCAAACAAAATTAGAGTACTTAACATACCAGGAGAGCTTTTAGATAGCAAAATTATATGGTTTGCATACTGTCTATTCAGATGTGCTATACTGCAGATCACTTTAAGCAGTGCATGCTTACATCAGGGACTGTCATATACTGAAGGCTGGGTGCAATGGTATTTCAAAGACAGGAAGTGGAAAACCATAAAGCCAGGCTGATACTGGAAGAGCTATGCAAGCCACCCCCTCCTACTGCAGGACACAGCTGATACCTTCAACAAGTTACCTTCACCAGCACAGCTCATAGCAGCTCAACAAGCAAAGTAAGCTGTCAGAGACACTTCTACTCTGCCAGCTGCCCCAGGGCACACAATTAGACAGTCCAAGAAACGAAGAAACGTACCCATTTCAGTAACAAACTGTGTTCTCCTCTGTACATCAGATCCAGCACAACAGAGCAGCTTCTTAATGGCAATCAAAATACTGGTTTACCTGAACTAGGCTCGACAGAGCAGGAAGGG